CTAGGATGTGAGAACTATTACTGCTACCATATAGTTGTTTGAACATCCATCTGGTCACAAAATGCTTTCCTTTCATTTATGGCAAATGGTGGAGACCTCCAAAACAAACGCAAATGCAATTGGTTTCTAATATGCCAATCTTTCTTGATATCTGCCCTTTAGGTCACAACATGTTTCTGAAGTCAAGGTGTTCCTCTAATACATATTTTTCAGTACAGTCAGGCTTTGTGTTAAATAGAAACCTTCCCCTGAAGATCGTACAGCATTAAAAAGGGTTAGTCTCTCTCTTTCCATATGGTAACAGAATGGCTAATGCTTAAGCTTTATCCCAAAGAAGTGAAGTGGAATATATATTGACATTTTGAGGAAAGAGAACCAAATGTTTGATTTGGATGATTATACTGAAGAGGATCCATCATTTATTGAAGCACCAAAGTGATTATCTTTCAGCAGATGGATTGCAGGCAATTTTGTCGTAGATGATAATCACACAAAAAATGGAATATGATCTCAAAGGCCAAGACTGGGATTATGGTTGTGTTAAGTGACCCAGAAGTGCTGAAAGTACCTGTCACGTTTCATGCAGGAATTTCTCCATGACAAATAGAGCTCATACAATGATACAAAATATGTGAGTAAAATATATATAGAAAGGTAAGAATTCTAGCTCATTTAACCCTCTTGACATGAACCTGACTTGGAAAGTATCTGGAAATTTCAGGTGGTATAAAATACAATCCCGGGATTGCTAATTGCTGCAAGGTGTTGGAATCGTACTTATGCCAAACATTTTATCCCGTTGCCAAAATGTCAAGTTGGACGTAATTCAAGCGTTGACTTGCCTTTTAAAGTCCCAAATATCTTGGAACTTGGCTATCCAAAGACTCTTTGTTCAGATGTCAAGATCAGCAGAAGAAGATGCTTCCAAAAGCGAGGGCGCTTTGTAGGAAATCTAGAAGGATCTCTCTTGTGTCTCTTCCTGTTTATGGGATGCTCTTTATCTAGGGATGCATTTTGACCCTGTTCTTTTTGCTTTCAGGAAATGTGTACAGATATATTTTGCCAGACCTTCGATGGTTGTGATTTTATTTACTTACTATTTGTGTTTGAACTTATTTTTTTTAAGTCTGTCTCCCTCTTGGCTTAAACAGCAAGCTGTACTGTATCTGTTCTTCAAGTCCTCTAACAAATAAATATAAAAAGCACATTAAAAAGAAAAACATGCATTCTGTTCACACTACTAGACACTTTGGTCTAGAAATAGAGCATCAGAGGAAAAGTGCAAAGAAGAGATTGTAAGGAATGGGCAGAGAGCCCAATAAACTTTCTGCATATCTGAAGTGCAGGCTTATTTCCACAGTCCAGAAGTCTTTGGGGGGAAATGAGAGTGGAGGCAGTTAGAACTTCAGCCAAAAACATACTAGGCCAACCTTAAAGATTAACTTGGCTAAAGCTAGTGTATAGGAAGGCTTCTGACTTGGGCCTGAGTTTTAATCTAGTTAGTTTATGAACAACCTTTTCTGAAGACAAGGGGGAAAGTTTAAAAGTACTACTAAGAAAAACAAGGTCGTCCCAGGTGAATATTATTTTCAACTTCTTATTTTTCTCCCAAAGTTTAAGCTAAGCAATACAAAATTGTCAAGATTGTTGATTAACCAAATGGTAGTCTGGTTTTTTAAAAAAGTATCATGTATATCAGGGGTCCCCAAACCCCGGTCCGTGGACCAGGTCAGGCCGCGGCATGTCAGCAACTGGTCCGCACAAACAAGGAAAGCCCCATCCAGAGGATGCAGGCAGCACACAAAACCATGCCCCCTCCGGTCCGCGGAAAAACCTCTTTCCACATAACCGGTCCCTGGTGCCCAAAAGGTTGGGGACCTCTGATGTATATCATGTATTGATGAGTTTTTCATTTGTAGCTTCCTTGATTAAAAGATGTACAACTTTGAGTAGACCAAAGGCATTGTTATTCAATTCTATCTGTCCCTTAACTGTTGGGAATCCATTGATCTTGTAACATTTTTCACCTTAATTTATTACATAAAGTAGTTGAAATATCAACAAAAAATGTAAATCTCATGCATACTGAGATTTCCAAGGACACAATTATTCCATTTTAAATAGTAGATAATAAAGTTGTGTTGGGATCCAGTCTGGGTCAGTCACTGGGACTAGTGGCTAGAGAGAATTTCCTTGAAGACGGGCTCCAGAAGGAGTCTAAAAGCTTGGAAGACAAAAACCTCTAGTCCCAGTGACTGACCCAAATTTGATCCTGCAGCCTTATGCTGGGACATGTGTATTCGCCTACATTCACGAAAGTTGTGTTAACTACAGATGTACAGTACATATTGGGGAGTCAAAGTGAAGCTGAATCTCAGTCAAATAGAGAGTTTAGGGGTGGGGAGAGGGTGTCTGTTACTCTCCATTTCTGTTATCGTCAGTTTCGGAGAATGTCATTTCAGCAACATTATTACACCAATGAAGTAGATTGTGTCGTTTGTACCATTTTATGCCATTGGTTTAATGACACCATTCTGATAATGCTGTGGATAAAACAGCAATATCAACCCTGGCATCCAGAAGACATTGCAGTGAAGTTTCGTGCTATCTAACGGATTTTAGTGGATTGGCAATGACGGTTATTTTAAGTCGGTTGGTGTAGAAATTTCCTTTATTATAGATGTTTTGGGGCTTTCCAAAAGCCTGGTTTGGAGGTGGCTTGATCTGTCCACATGTAAATGGATTTCTTCCAGTCTTTGTGAATAAAGGATGGCTGTTTTTCAGAAGACATTGCCTTATAACAGAGCTGAATAAATTTTGGCCTAGGTAATTCTACAGTATGATTACCTATGCAAGCAATATTGTACTGACAACTAGTGGCAAATTATAGACATTAACAAGTCTACATTAACAAGTCAAAGGCAGGAAGGGGAGCTAAGCATAGATGTAAATAGAAGAAGCTGTTATCCTAAATTAGATAAGCCACGGCAAAGCAAGCATATATATTTATTATGTATGAGATTTGCAAGTCTGCTTTAAAGATATGCAATAGTTAATTGTTCACTCCATTAGTAGAGAAAATGATTTTAAATATAAACTGAATTAGGATATTTATTTACTGATATTATTTGTATATTAAGTACTCTGCGCAGTGAGTACTGAGCTTAAAATACTAACATAAATTGAAGTTAACCAAATGATTGCGTTAATGAGTTTTCATTCTGTTTTTCTATTTACAGCTTCAATTTTGTGTATGTATCTTCCAGATTAACTATCATTTAACTCATTATAGCGATCCAGGAAATGGTGCATGGGAGTTGCCTGTAAGATAAAGAAAATAAAGACAAAACCAAACTCATAATTAGTAAAACAAAATCTGTTCAGTGTGTTTCTCATACTCATATCTTTATTTTTTTTATTATTTTTTTTTAGATTTCTGAATATCAGATGAGAAATCTTTTTTCTCTTAGATTCAGTCCGTTCCAATTTCAGTCCATTCCAAAATTAAGCTCTTTATTATTCCCTCGCTGCATTTAGAAATGTAGGGTTGAATTTTCACTAGGCTAATTTTTGGGTTTGTGCTTGAATTGAAGTGACAGGTAGGAGTGTGTGTGTGTGTGTGTGTGTGTGTTTATTTATTTGAGAGGGTTTTTTTTTTGCTTTTCTCACAGTGATACAAAGGAGCTTGAAATGATCATAGAATCATCAACAATGCAAGCAGTGCTATGGATTTTGCCATATTTTTCTGCTAATAAATTATGATATTTTTTTGCTATAAATTAAAATGTTCATCATTAATAATGATGACAGTCGTAATTGTCATATTTATATTGCATCTTTGTTTTTGCACAACTCGGCACGATGGCAAAAAGACTTATGTGTACATAACTCATGACTCAGATGATGATAAGGGTAATTTGCAGTTTCATGGCTGTGCAGGGGTTCAGAAAAGTACTTTGCAACAAATAGGAGGTCAGGATGCCACTATAGGGCATTGCGTGCCAAAACAACCAGACACAAAGACAGTCTTTCCCTCCCTGTGCCATCACTCTGCTAAATCTCTAATTCCCTCAGCCCTCTCTTACGCCTAAGGATATCTATCCACGTAGTAGGGCTTTATTACTATCATCCTTCTCATCTTTCCTATTACCTATTCCTATTGGTATCTTATGGCTGTCACTTTGTTGGTTTTATCTTATGATTGTATCTTATGATTTATGATTGATTTCTTGCTTGTATGTACACTGAGAGCTTATGCACTGGAGACAAATTCCTTGTGTGTCCAATCACACTTGGCCAATAAAGAATATTCTATTTATTTTCTATTTTCTATTTTCTATTTTATTCTACTCTACTCTACTCTACTCTACTCTACTCTACTCTACTCTACTCTACTCTACTCTACTCTACTCTACTCTACTCTACTCTACTCTACTCTACAGGTTATTCTGTTCTATTCATTTCAAATTGTCCCTCACAGAGTTTTCCTAGAGCAGGGGTGTCAAACTGCCGGCCCGTGGGCCGGACGTGTCACGCGGAAGCCGCACCCCACCCCATTGCCGGCAATGGCAAAACAGTCTCGATACGTTGTGCAACGTCACGTGACATCGCGAGTTTGGCATGTCTGTCCTAGAGAATCTTGAATGAACCATTGAAGAAACCTTCCGCTGTTACTCATTATTTTTAGGGAGAGATGTTACATTCTGTCCTTGTGATCAAAGTGGCAGGTTAAACCATATCATATGCCTTATTCCAAAGGAATCAATTTTCTCAGATAAGCTGGCTCCTATTTCTGTCCAACGTCCTGGAAATAATTCCTGTCTAACGTATTATACTGTGATGCTGATGGGTAGGATGTTGCCTTGCTAAGGAACAATTGAGTCAAGCTTTATCTGGTAGGTCCTGAATTGACCTTGCTTTCATGCTCAAAACTGTTTGCACCCTTCAGTATTCGATACATCATAAACTTTATTTTTGCTTCCCTCCCGCACCCTCCCCAGGCCTTGAGCTACCTTTCATGATGATGCCCCATCCGCTTATTCCGGTCAGCCTGCCCCCAGCATCCGTCACAATGGCTATGAATCAGATGAACCACCTTACCACAATTGCAAACATGGCCGCCGCAGCACAAGTACAGGGCCCTCCCTCCCGAATGGAGACATCTGTGATTAAGGTAGGTGTGGTTTTGGTCTGCTCCCCAATGTACTGGTTATGAACAAAAGACACATATCAGGAAGGAGAGGGCTGAGAAGGCTTTCTCAGCCCTCTCCTTCCTGATATGTGTCTTTTGTTCATAAATGATCTTTTGCAATCTGAAACAAATTACATTAATTAAAAAAAAACCTTTAATTCAGACTCAGATATTGAAATATGGAAGTGGGAATGGCTGTGAGAGATGGTCCTGCAGCTCAAAATGTGGGACCAATTAGTGTGGGAAGAAGCTTCAGAGAACTAGTGAAAATTTGGTGATAAAGTCCCCCATTCTTTATAAAGGACACCAAGACCTTACTATGGCAGCTAATTGCTTGGGTGTAAACAGAAGCATCACAACTGGCTAAATGAGAAACGTGGATTGTGAACCTGGGTGCGGATGTCATAACATCTAGAAAAGTACAGAGGCAGGACTTCATCATATCTTAAATGTAGGCTTTCCTTCCTTCCTTCCTTCCTTCCTTCCTTCCTTCCTTCCTTCCTTCCTTCCTTCCTTCCTTCCTTCCTTCCTCATTGTCTTGGTAGCATTAGGTGATTAGCATCATGTTCTGTCATGGAAATGCTCCCAAGAATACATGCAGAAAAAAATAGATACATGTATAGTAGTAAGGTGTCATCAGCATTTTCTGTTCTGCCTGATGCCCAGGTAAATTTCATTTGTTAGATACCTATGAGAATGGGAATTTATAGGAAATACATTTTACCTATGCCAATGTAACAAAATATATTTACTTCCTATCCAATGTCCTAGAATTTAACTTATAGGGATATAGAGAGCCATTCCCAAGGGTACTAACAACATATCAATTTTGGATTATTAATTAATTAATTAATTAATTGGTAGGTTGGTTGGTTTTTTGGGTTGGTTGGCTGGCCGGCCCCCTGGCTGGCTGGCCCATTCGTTCACTCAGTCACTCAGTCAGTCAGGTAGAGTGAATAACAATTACCTTTATTTTTCAAGCCATACTGTCTCTGATGACTATTTTGATTTAAAAACCTGAGGCCTTCTAAAAATCATAATCTGCCTGGAAAGAGAATTCTAGAATACAAACAGCCCGCAGATAGTTTTCAAGACTGATTTCTATTGTTTGAAAAAAATATTGAACTAAGATCCCTGGTGGCACAGTTGTTAGAATGCAGTATTGCAGGCTAACTCTGCCTTCTGCCAGAAGTTCGATCCTGACCAGCTCAAGGTTGACTCAGCCTTCCATCCTTCCGAGGTGGGTAAAATGAGGACCCAGACTCTGCAAACCGCTTAGAGAGTGCTGTAAAGCATTATGAAATGCTATATAAATCTAAGTGCTATTGTTAGTGTTCTTGCTAAGTACTTTTAACCAATAAACAGAATCATATGGGAAATCAATAATAGAATTTTGAGCTTTGACTTTCTACTACTTTACCAAACCATTCATATTCTGGGACCAGTAGAACGAATAACATTTCAAAGGGTCTCTGTTTTCTATCATAGTAGGTTATAAGGGTTTCTAAGATGAAATCGGCCTCAGTGGGAAAGTTGATCTTAAGGTCCTTCTCGGCTCAGATTTCTTGCTGGCCATTCCCTGCTGTTCACCAAGTGGTTTTGTGGCAGTGCATTATCTGAACATTTGCAAATGACAACTTGCTATTTAGCAGTGCTTCGTTTTATGCAGATAAGAAGCTAAAATTCCTGTGGAAGCAAATCTTTCTATTTCTATTTTTAACCTTTTCAAAAAGAATGAAGCAAATGAAATAATGAAATCTAATCAGGAAGAGTGAGATAAGAAAGCCAGGGTTCTTTTTTTTTTTAACTTTACAATTCTACATTCTACAATTAATCAATACCCTTTGGGGAATTAGATAAATATTAGATAGCTGTTTCTCAATCTGGATGTGAGGAATGAGATCTCAGGAATAAGAGATCCGAGAGCCTAGCTTACATATAACTGCTATTGTCTATTATTGTAAAGAAGAATACAAAAAAAAAAAAAATACAAAGAGGAAGAAACAATTACGGATGCTTAACAATAACCAAATTCTGTCCATTGAAGAAGAGATACTTCTTGTAGAAGGTGCACGTTTCTTGAAAAAAAGATCAAAAGTCAAACCATAACTCAGCTTTAAAAGTGAAGCTGAGGTGTCCTCTTCTTAACCAATGTGAAAAATGGAAATTAAACCTAAAGAATTGGACCACTGTTGGGTGTAGACATTTCTATATATTCAAATTCCAGGATGTGATGGGTTGCAAGTCTTTAACTTTCAGAGGACCAATGATGAAACAGAACAAGGTTATTTCAACCTGTAAAACTGTACTGAGCCTTTGGCTAGTAACAAGGTACATTGCTTTTTTTCTTTAGCTTTAATTTTTTGACATTTTTTTCTCTGGATCTGGCCAGTATCCTTCTACCTTACCAGGTGACAAAGGTGCAGGCTGCTCACCTTTACTGAAGTTGCTGCTATTTCTCCTGGGTTACATAAATCAAGGATTGCTAATTATTAAGGGCTACTAATCAAGGAGAGAAGCAATCTAGAACTAAGGAGAAATTTCCTGATGGCAAGAACAATTATCCAGTGGAATGGCTTGCCTTCAGAAGTTGTGGGTGCTCCATCACTGAAGGCTTTCAAGGAGAGGCTGGATAGCCATTTGTACAGGATCTCCTGCTTGAGGGGGGAGGTTGGACTAGAAGACCTCCAAAGTCCCTTTCAACTCTGTTATTCTGTGATTCTGTTAAATGCTGCTTGCAGATATTAACTTGTCCTTTTACGGCAAATCTAAGAATTGCAGTAGGAGACAAGCAGGTCCAAAAATAATTATGAGCTCTTTGTTTATTTGTTTATTATATTTATATCTTCCCTTTCCTAAAGGAGTTCAAGACAGAGTTGATAAATCAATTCATTTTTCAGCAGATTTATAGCAGCGTTTTGAAGTAATGTGCATCGCTGTAAAAGGACAGTCAACTAAATTTAAGCAAAACAGTTATTCTTTCTCCTACTTTTCCAGAAAAGGCTCTGCTAATTTGTTACAAGAAATGCAATCAGGTGTTCTATTAAGGTGACCAACTTTTTTACAATGAAAAGGAGGACACAAATAAATTGAAGAAAAAAATATCGTAAATAAAAGAAACATTTTTATTCATTGCAACAATAACACAGACAACTTGCATGTGCAAAGTTTGCCAGCCGGGTGTTTTGGCGTGCTCAGCAGCAATTCCTATTGGCTTTCGAAAGCCAATAGTATAGTGGGAGTAGCACAGCTTATGCAAAAGTTGAAAAAAAAACCCATCAAAAAAAGGTGCCGGAACGCCATTCTGAGCGTTCTATGAGGGAAAAAAAAGCCCTGCAGATTAGTCTTCAAATATCGAAAAGGAGGACATGAAGGAGGACACTTTTTGAGGGAGGAGAGAACTTACAAAAGGAGGACTGTCCTCCCTAAAGGAGGACGGTTGGTCACCTTAGTTCTACAACAGTTTAAAGAATTACTGTAAGCTTTTTAGACTAATGTTTATCAGATACCAACATCTCTCCCTCTCTTAATGATGTACATATATACACTGATATAACTTTGCAAAAAAAAAAGGGGGGGAGGTTGATTTAATATTGTTTCTGGTATTTTATTTTGCTGAAGGATGCATATATTATTTTTTTAAAAAAAAAAACCTTGGAAAATTACCGTATTAAAAGATCACGTGATCAACTATTATTGTAGTTGAGAATGCTGGTTTGATTTATTTAATGTTATGTACAATTGCGCCCTCAGTCAAATCCCCCCCCCCAAAAAAAATAAAGCACGTTGAGCTAACCCTGTAGCTTAATTCTAGTACTTTTTTCTTCTTCTGCTCCTCTTGTATCTTGGCCTGAGCTTCTTTGATGCTATCAATTCTTGGTTGTCGAAATAAGTGACATATCTCCACTGAGAAACTGACTGTCAGTTTAACTTCTGTGATAGGAAACAAAGCAATAAAATCCTTCATGTTCACCTCAGAATCTGAAGAAAAAACTGGATCTCCTCCACTGTCTTGTTATCTGCCATTCAATATTCAGAAAAGAAAAATGCCCAAAGGGATGGTATATATATATATAACATGTAATATGTAGCATATAGTATATAGTATATAGTATATAGTATATAGTATATAGTATATAGTATATAGTATATAGTATATAGTATATAGTATATAGTATATAGCAGTGATGGCGAACCTTTTAGAGACCGAGTGCCCAAAGTGCAACCCAAAACCCACTTATGTATCGCCGGGTGCCAGGTGGGTGTGGCCCACTCGGAGGGTGCAGCTACAGTGGGCGTGGCAGACTGGGTGGGCATGGCCACTGGATGGGTGTGGCTGCAGTAGTCATGGTAGACTGAGTGGGCATGGCTGGGGTGGGCGTGGCCACTTCAATGTTGTTTATGGGGAGGGACACCTGTGGAAGCCGGGCAGGGCAGGGTTGGGGGAGATCCAGGGGGTCTCTGGCGGGTGGGACGGTGGGCTCCCCAATGGTGGCTCCAGGCTGGCTGGCCTTAGGCCAGTGATGGCGAACTTTTAGAGACCACGTGTGCTGGGGTGATGGCACGTGCCCACAGAGAGGGCTCCGCGTGCCGCCTCTGGCACGCGTGCCATAGGTTCGCCACCACTGGTATATAGTATACAGTATACAGTATACAGTATACAGTATACAGTATACAGTATACAGTATACAGTATACAGTATACAGTATAATATAGAACATAGAACATAGAACATATAATATAATACATAATATTATATGTGAACAATTGTTTCTCTGTGTGGATGCCGCTTCCGGAAGTCCATTCTGGGCCTGGGCAACAAAAAAATTAGCTGCTGGTTCTGCCAAACTGGTGTGAACCGGCTGAATCCTACCACTGTATACAAGCCTCACTGAAAACATTTTTTAAAATCCCCATGGATTCTTTAAAAAAAAAAAAAATAAGCAATTTGCTTTCAAAAATATAACTTCTTCTGACAATTTTTTTTTTTGGGGGGGGGATTCTATTTGTGTTGGACCAAAAGAGTTGACACTCATGCATTTCCTCTTGACCTCTTCCACATATACTTTGCTTTTCATTCGGTGGAAAGTAATATTCAGAAAATATTAGGCTCAGCACGTTCAATTTTGCCGAACATTTGTAGGGACTGAATAAAACCTGACACCTTGTGAGGGTGAATTCTCACTGAGCTGGGAGATGTCTTTCTGGTTGTTACAACATTAGAGAACCTAGATAGTTCTCAACTTACAAGAGTTCGTTTAGTGAGCGTTCAAATTTACAACTGCATTGAAAAATGTGACTTATGACCCTTTTTCACATTTACGACCTTTTGTAGCATCCCCGTGGTCGTGTGATCAAAATTCAGACGCTTGGCAACTGGCTCCTATTTATGACCATCGCTGTGTCCCAAGGTCACGCGATCCCGTTTTGTGGCCTTCTGTCAAGCAAAGTCAATGGGGAAGCCAGATTCACTTAACAACTGGGTTACTAACTTATGAACTGCAGTGTTTCACTTAAAGATCGTAAAATGGGGCAACAAAACTCACTTAATAAATGTCTTACTTAACAATGTAATGGGCTCAACTGTGGTTGTAAGTCTTGAACCACCTGTAAATTCTCTTCTCTGTAGATGTTTGCATTAAGGGAATGGTACCTATCCAGGTGGAAATTGAGAGGCAGAGTTCTGCCTTCAGAATTATGCTAACATGGATTTCCTTTATCGATTTATTATTCAGCTATGTAAATTTCCGCCTGCGTTCTGAAAGCATGCAGCCTTATCGGGCTTAGAAATAATTCCTAATGAGAAAATGAACATAGCATAAGGGTAGAGATTTGCTTTACTGTTTTCCTGGCTAACCTCAAAAGCCTGAAAACCATCCCAGAAAAAGACACTGGCAAACCACTCTCATAACATTGCCAAGAAAACTGTATGGATGCTGTCAGCAGGAAACTGAGTTCAACTCAGGAGCACCGTAACTTTTTACCTTATTAAATAATACGAGGAGCGACTTTTCTGTAAGTTCAGCTCAGTTGCAAAATATTCTTTCTCCTTAAGAAAGCAACATCCAGTGCTATTGGACATGGAATTACATCTATCTTAATCCTACAGATTATGTGATTATAACCTACAATCAGTTTTAGAGTTATCGTATGACAAACGATGCATCTCCAAGTCTCAAAAAGGAGAGATATTTAATAATAAATACTCCATAATCAGGGTAGGAATGAACACTTTTGTATTGTGAAGCAACTATCATGTATAGTGTACACATCTGAATTTTTGCTTTTGTGTGTTAGAAGATTAGTTCCCATGATCAATTCCCTCTTTTCCATGTATATTTAACATGGCTTTTTAGATAATGTGTAACGGGGCTCTTTCAACTCTATAATGCCACCTAACTCAATCCAGAGTCCAATGCAACGTGGAGTGATCAAAAAATAAAGGAGATGCTTTTGATGGAATTCATTACAAGCATTTAATTAACATGGGCTACAGCAGGGGTGTCAAACTCAATTTCACTGAGGGCTGCATCAGCATTGTGGTTGCCCTGAGGTGGGGCGGGTGGGTGTGGCCAGAATGGGTGCAGCCTACTGGGTGGGCGTGGCCAGTTCTACATCATTCGCATCAAGGGTGCTTGTGGGGGCCTGGGCAGGAGTGGGACAGATCTGAGGGTCTCTGGCAGAAGGGGGTGGGACCGGGGCAAGTGCCAAGGCATGGTCCACCGGGGCAAGTGCCAAGATGGCCACCACAAAATTGCACATTGGCTCCCGGCTGGCCTGGGCCAGGGCCAAGGCAGCGGCGGCCATTCCCTCACTGTTTCCAGGATGGCTTCGTGGGCCACATGAAACTACTTTGCGGGCCACATCCGGCCCACGGGCCTTGTGTTTGACATGTCTGTACTACAGTAATCCAATCCACAGTTGCAAAAACAAAACAAAACACTGTTTGAAGCAATTCCGGCAATTTACAGCCCTGGTTCTAACACTGCTTTATAGATATTTGTGAATTCAGATCCTGTAATGACAAGATAAACAAAAACATGCACTGGAAGAGATCTCTTTTAATGTAACATTCAGGCACAGACAATGGGATGCATTCCCCAAGAGCCCATTTTTACCATCCCAATGGGCTACGTGACCTTTGCTCCTATGGCTCACAAGCTCTGCTTCCTAGTTCCCAAAATGCTGGCCTTGTCTTTCGTCAGCTGACCATGATCACGTTACAGGAAAGTTCATGTTGAAGAGATACTTGGCAATAGTGTTCACTCATGATTTCTTTCTACCCTTGCAATTTATCTTGCCACAAGGACTGCAGAAATACTGAATGGGAACAAGCAAAGGGAGGAAATCCACATCGCTTACTTGCCTTTGATGGAAATTTTAAGTTACAGTCAGCCGCCATCAAGATGGAAAGATTTTCGGGTTCTGTTTTGGCCCAATGGAATCAAGAATATTGGATAGCAGGAAGGAATCTCTGGGCAGCCCAGACTGCTTCTCAACAATTAGATTTGATTTGTAGGAGAAAGAAAGAAAGAAAGAAAGAAAGAAAGAGAGAGAGAGAGAGAGAGAGAGAGAGAGAGAGAGAGAGAGAGAGAGAGAAAGAAAGAAAGAAAGAAAGAAAGAAAGAAAGAAAGAAAGAAAGAAAGAAGGGGGACGGAGGAAGGAAGGAAAATAAAAAAGAGAGAAAAAGAGAAAAAGAAAGAAAGAAAAGGAAGAAAGAAAAGAAAAAGAGAGAGAGAAAGAAAGAAAGAGAGAGAGAGAGAGAAAAGAAAGAGAAAGAAAGGGAAAGAAATATAGAAAGAGAGAGAAAGAAAGAAGAGAGAAAGAAAGAAAGAAAGAAAGAAAGGGGGGAGGGAGGGAGGAAGGGAGGGAGGGAGGGAGGAAAATAAAGAAAGATAGAGAAAAAGAGAAAGAAAGTAAGAAAAAGAGAAAGAAAGAAAGAGAAAGAAAGATAGATAGAAACAGAGAGAGAAAGAAAGAAGAGAGAGAGAGAGAGAAAGAAAGAAAGAAAGAAAGAAAGAAAGAAAGAAAGAAAGAAAGAAAGAAAAGAAACATTTGCATATAATAAAGATAGAAATAAGTATGTTAAATCAAAAGCTCTGTGTCTTAAAATATTTTATTAGCCTATTTATGTTTGGTGAGGTGTAAGTGAGAAAGATATCCCATTAAATTGTCCCTGTTAACTTAGTTTGTGAGTTCCTGCCCTGCTTTCAGTGTAACATGGTTTGTTTGCTACATCATAGCCACTTGAGTTTTGAGAAACAGAAATTACATGAAAATGAAAAACTTGGTTAAGCTTGGTAATCCCAACGCTCAGTAATATGGCGTCTAGAATATTTAGACAATATTAAGAGGTTCTTTCCATTTAACTGTTCTTTGTTTTGTCTTGATGATTTTACAGGAACGAGTTCCAGACAGTCCTTCCCCTGCTCCATCTCTCGAAGACGGTCGAAGGCCTGGTAGCCATCCATCCTCACATCGTAGCAGCAGCGTATCCAGCTCCCCTGCCCGAACCGAAAGTTCTTCAGACAGAATCCGTAGGTCGCTGGTTATTTCCTTTTGCCACCACTGTTTCAAATCCCTGCAATAATAAATGTGCCCTTTGCTATCACCAGGATCTCCATCCTCCCCATGAAACAGTTGTGAAGCCAATTCAAACCCTTTCATTGGGCTACGCCAATCAGTATCTACTCATTTTTTTCCTCACTCCTCCAAGGAGAGAATGGAGAGAGACGTGTAGTGGCCTGTCTCCTAACTTCCTGAAGATCACCCCATTCCATACATACAGTAATGGTCAAAATTGTGGAAACCTTTTGGGAAAAGTGTACAGTAAAAATGCCACCTTTGGTTAAGTTTCCACCAATTTTTCTTCTAATTTCTTTATAACTGTAACCTTGTTCACTTAATAAGATTATTTTACATCACTTTCTGGGCAACCAGTCAACTCTTTGCACCATTACTTTAATTTTATTACGTTTTACAAGCTCACTCAATGAAAAAACACAGAAAAATCCAACCAACTTGATAGCGATCACATAACACACTGACAAATATCCTCCTCTCAGCTTCAATAAATGACATAAAATAAAAGAACTGAATCCTACTGTGATCTGATTGGCTCATTGCCAAAACAAGATGATACCTGATTGGCTCTCTAAACACTCATGCTCATTGGCTACAATCAGATGAAGGAAAGCTACCTGATATCAACCTAAGCAAGTTGTGCTTCCTTTTTCTGGTTATTTGGCTATAACATTTCATAGAATACAGATAATTGAACAAACTATGTTGCATTACATTCTTGATTAAATTATCTTTCCATTGATATATAATTTTATGGTACTACTCCAAAAGGAAAGCGATGTTATTAGCCATCAAACCTCAAAAATACACTTTTCCCAAAAGGTTTCCACAATTTTGGCCACTACTGTAAAGGATGACACTTCCACCCATGTTGGGGTGAGCCTTTGTCCAGTGATTTTGCAACCTAAAAACAAAAACTGAAAGAACTCTGAGGTAGGAAACGATACGAGAAAAAGTTAATTGCAAAAAAGGTGAACAAAATTACTAAAATCCTCTCCTATTTTTTCCAAGCTTCCTCACTACAAATTCCTTCCTGTACTTAAAGGCCCAGGTGAACTGGGAAGGTTATGTGGTAATGTGGTGGGAATTATGGCATCAGGCATCTTTCCCAATAACGATGTTAACAGCTGTATGTCGCTGAAGTGTCTGTGTGGAAGACGAAGAGATGTAAGTTCTCAACCAGACGTATGGAAAAGGCATCTTCAAGGAGAAGTATCTAAATCTCTTGGGATAGGCAGCAGGCTGCCAGACAGAAAAGCTGAGCAGTAAGGTCTATTTTGAACCAAGGAAGCCATTTTTCCCGAGAACAGCAGCAGTTCAAAACAAAACACCCATTTTGCTTGTTGTTTCAATTAAACCAGAACAGAGTTGACTCATCTCCTTGAAACAGAGACCATCCTGAGATCAATTGGGGTCAAAAGCCAGTTGTGAAGCAAAACAAAACAACGATGGGCAAAAGGGTTTTTGCCTTTCTCAGCAAAAAAATATTTCTCTGTATTTGTAGTCTCAAATGTCGGGTGTGCCATAAGCTGATACTACAAGCTTGTTTTAGGTTAGTCCAGTTGTGGTTTATGAGCCAGGTTTGATCCAAGTTCTCAATCCCTTTTCATTTTTATAACTCTAGAAAAGAAGAGGGGAGACAACAGTTCCTTTTAACAGAAATTATGATTAATTTAATATAAGTTTGGAGTACTTCTCAGACAAATCTGGGTTTATTTGTTGTTGTTGTTGTTGTTGTTTTAAAAAACCCTAGCATTGTTGCTGCTGTATTTGGCTAGCAGATATAAACAAAATCCTTTTTATCTTTATTTGTGCTGCATGCCGTTGTACATCTCAATTGGACTTCAGAAAACATTTCTTAACATAAGGAAATATTTTATTTTTCTTCTGTAAAAAGGATATTAACACTGGGGGACTTTGTGGCTGCCCATTTATATAAGGTTTTGCCTTGTCCCATTTTTTTTTAAAAAAAACCCCATAACATTCTCAAGTTTGCTCTTTGCTCTATGTTTTTTTTTCCCAGTTCTCTGAAAGTGAAATGAATACTCTGTGACATGCACTTTAATATGTTTCTTGAGTTTGGGCATTAGTGTTATTGTGTAAAGAAAGGCCATGCGTTGTAGACTTTTGAAATTGAGGAAGTGGTGCTTATGGTAAGTAGAGCATTAAAAGGAAAGTTCAGGTTATGCATAAATGCATCACTTGCTTTCTTACCACTTTCTTATACTATTTAAGACAATTTGTTTGATCTGCAGTGACATGCTTACATACGCGAGGCACAAAGCAATAGATGTTGTCATGGAGTGATAATAGTTATGTAAAGAGGGGAGCAAGGGAGGAGCTGTAAATTGCACGTCTGTCCCATTTCTTGTGGAACGTGTTTTAATTCATTTCACATCTTCTTACAGAGAGATACATTTTGCTAGGGACTTTTCGGTTTTCCAAAATGTCTTTAGTGCTTCTGAAAATCTGCAAAGAATAGCCAAGAAGGGACTGGAGGCTAAAGCATGAAGAATGATTGCAGGAATTGGGTAGGTCTAGTTTAATGAAGAGAAGGATGAGGGATGACAATAGCAGTCTTCCAATATCTCAGGGGCTGCCACAAAGAAGAGGGAGACAAGCTATTCTCCAAAGCGCCTGAAGGCAGGACAAGAAGCAACGGATGGAAACCAGTCAAGGAGAGAAGCAACCTAGAACTAAGGAGAAATTTCCTAACAGTTAGAACAATTAACCAGTGGAACAACCTGCCTCCAGAAGTTGTGAATCCTCCAGAATGCTTAAGAAAAGATTGGACAACCATTTATCTGAAATGATATAGGGTTTCCTGCCTGAGCAGGGGATTGGACTAGAAGACCTCCAAGATTCCTTCCAACTCACTTATTCCATTATTCTGCTAAGAAAAGAGTTGATTAATAAGTGTCTTTTCCGTCAAAGATCAATCCTACATTTCTGATGGATGATAGACCCAGGCTGCTTGAGCAGTTTTTTTATTTATTCTAACTTTTTTTTTGTAGACTACCCACAAGTGTGTGAAGATAGTGCTGTATCCAAATATTACAAATATTACAAACAATTAGTAGTAACAATACTTTATTAAACTGAAGGCAACTTTCAGTGACTCGTGGTGATTCACAACAAACCAAGAAATTACAATCAGATCAATAAAACAAAAAAGATAAAGATAAAACATTAAAGATTTATGGCAAGTGCCATAAATGGAGTTTGAATGTTTTTGTAGTCCAAAAAAAGTGAGCTGTTGAAATGAAGCTTCTTCATCGTGGTCTCTGATTCATAATTGGGAGTTTTATGTCTGGTTAATAAGCTCTTGGGATACAGAACATATCCAGGAGAAATTTACTGTCCATGATCGCTACCTAGAACGCAAATCTAAAACAATTTAAATGTTTAACTAACTTGTGCTGTTGGTGCCTATCTTTTTATATGTAGAGGAGCAATTCCTGCTTCCTTAACTATGTATATAAATCAAGTTGCAGCCTTCACAGTGAGGTAGAAAAGATAATGGAGATGAGATGATAGAAGAACACACATAAGGTGGAAGGTGGGAATTTCCCCAGCTATTTCTGTATTTTACATGGTCAGTTAACTATTCAGTCTTCATATGTTTTGGGGGGGAAAAAAGCAATTTGCAAATCCTGTCATTTCTTTTTAAAGAAAGAGGCAAAATGCTTGGTCAGTTTTATTGTAAGTGAATAAACTCATTCTGTACAAAAGTATATGTCTGTACACTAACAGTTGAATCTAAGTCATGCTCCATTTCCAACAAGGAGAAAATGTCCACCTTTGTCTAGTGTTCCAGTGTAAACCGTAACATCCAATTTACAAAAGGTCAGGCACTTTTATATGTCCCTAAACAAAAAATAGCAGAGATCAATAACATTTATTCAATTATTTTATGGAGCAAATGTATGGATGTCTATTGAGGAATCAGTTGTGTGATCTTTAAAATGGATGTTTAGAGTGCAGTTTTGTGGAACTCAGTATGGGTGCTTCTGAATTGAGCTACAGCTATGCTGAAGGCAGAGCCCTTGAAATTTTAAGAACCAACTGTCATGAAAAGATTGAGCAGGTTGTTCTCTTGGCTTAGACCAAAAAGAAAGAACTTATTTGTGTCTTCCAAGCTATTATTTAAAGCACAAGAAGGTGGAGAATGAAAAATAGGAGTAAATATGAAGGAGAAATAAAGAAAAGAAAGAGAGAGAAAGAAAGAGAGAAAGAAAGAGAAGGAAGGACAGAACGAAGGAAGGAAGGAAGGAAGGAAGGAAGGAAGGAAGGAAGGAAACCAAATAAGAAAAAGAGATAAATATCCTTCTTCTGCTGTCCTTTTGTACTGGACTGGGGGTCTACTCTTTTTTTGCTACAGCTGAAACCCAACTCAATCAATACAGGTTTTCTTGGATTCCCAACTACCTAGGTACCTTGCTGATCTATTCTCTTTTCTCTCTTGTACCTTGTAGGATACAATGAAAAAAGCATCAAAAATTTGAATATAATTTAAAGATTGTGGACAAAGGATGCTTACATTGTACTAGTGCACAGTCATCAAAATCAAGAGTGGAAATAGGAAGCTCTCAGCTTCTTAAGCGAGGAATAAAATTCTTATCTATTGGGAAAACTCAGGGATTGTAACCTGGGTAGGCTTGAAAGTTGTGTGCTTTGTCAAGAACCTTCAGACCCTTCCCTAAACAGACACAAGGCATAATTAAAGTCACTGTTTCCTACCCAAAGTTGAATGTCTTTACCATAATATTCCGTTCTTTGTTCTCTTTCTTTGCATGTGCTAGCAGCTATCCATCAAAACGGCCTCTCCATGAACCAGATGTTGATGGGCTTATCTCCAAATGTCTTACCTGGTCCGAAAGAAGGTGACTTGGCTGGCCACGACGGTGGGCATGACTCCAAAAGAATGCACATGGAGAAAGGTAGTGTTGTGGGGTTGAAGTTGTTGTGTTTCATTACACTCTGAGGAAGCATGCTTTTTATTCGTTCATATTCTGTTATCATTTGAGTGGTTCACAAGCAAGCAACGTTCACACAAAGGAGAGAGTGAGCACTCACTTCCTGTCTCTATCAAAGGATAACACAACTTCTCTGACGTGTTGGTGTAGTACATTAATTACAGCAACAATGGGGAAAATAAGTGGCAGGAATTATTTGATCGTGCTGTTATGAATAGAAGAAAAATGATTAAAATCTCACAATGAAACTCATATAGCAGAATAACAGCCCTTATCTTTCCCCACTTCTTAGATACTTGTTCTTTAGGAAATACAGTACTCAGAAATTATTTTCTGTAATTGGGGTGGATCTATGGTTGATCAAAGAAACAAGTCACTTAAATTCAGCCGGTGTGAGCTAACCATGGATGGCCATGTGTTGGGAAGGAACAGCAGCTAAATTGCTTAGCTCCTGCAACCCGCTAATAGTGTAAAATGAGACTGGTGGATAGCATCTAATTTATTTTAAATTTAATCAGCCATCCGACTGAAAATATATGAGCTAGATTAATGCATATTAGGACTTCTGTTGTTTATTATGCTACCTTATTTGGTTTGTGCAGGTGTGGATGCCTTTTTCTCTGATGGAAATATTAACCAATGCCTTTGTATGTAGAAAAGTTTACAGTTGCACAGTTTGAGAGGCTAATTTTGTGGGCTTGATATACGGATCTCTTTAAACAACCCCTGTGTACCAAGGGCAAAATCAACGAATAGGCATCCAGCCGAAATGCAACAGCTTGCTAATAAATGTAAAGCAAAAATCCCAATAACTGTTTCGGTGTAGAATTGCTGTAGCAATAAAGAACTGAAATGGAGGTGTTTTGTGGTCTAAGTTAATAGATACAAAAAGAAAGAAAGAAATAATAATAATAATAAAAAACAATCCAGATCTGTCTTACGCAACTACTGCGAGATATGGAAAGAGAATTAAAATCTGGACACTTTCATTCTGGACAGGTGGCATTTTTAATAAGATTACACTAAAAATTAATGAGAACAACATTTCTCTTATACAAATCATTAATTTTGGTTCATTGCACACACAGCCCGCCGTGGCTCTTTGCTTGCTTCCTGGACACGCAAGCGCTTAAATCCTGCAAAATGTTATCCAGGCTGAGAGGGTGATATAAAAGTGACTTGATTTCAATTTCAGAGAGAAGGTTTAGCTTCAGCCCATCTACGTTTAAATACAAATGCACCATCAAGTTAGGAATTTTGTAGAAAAACCAGCAAAACAGGTTTTCCAATGAAAGTTTTTTACTTGCTAACCATTTTTAAAAATGTTCCAATTAAATCATGTATTAACATAAAAAACCTGACTAGAGAATGAAAATTATTCCCATTTAATCTGTTGCATTTTTTTGTTCTTAAATGATTCTTGTTTAGGTCACAAATTTCTTCTGCTACCCATAACCTTACCTTCTGAAGTGGTGTTATTATTCAAGGGTGATCTAGATTTATAGGATATACTGAATTAAAAATGGGTTGTTTTTTTTTTGTCATGACTGCATTTATCACAGCTTCTGAGCCAGCCCTGTAACTTAGAGGCCAAACTTACGTGTTTCACTTAAAGATATTTGCAGAGATAGTTATTATCTGCTTACAGGCCTGTAGCTCAAATATGCAATTTTGTTTCTGACCGTCTTTAATCTTTCAAAGTCATTAATCATTATTACAGGTGGATAAATTAATGCAAAATAAATAGATGTAGGCATTTGCATCCTTACGATAGAAAATGCCTTGTCTGCATCGTTGTCTGTTTAAAAAAAAAAAACAGAGACACAGAGATAGATCTTTGAACATTAGTCATTATCCATTTATATATTACTCGGTTACACACACACACACACACACACACACACACACACACACACACAGAAAGAGAGAGAGAGATGCACATGAGACACATTGGAGCTAATCCATCAATTGGAACTCAAATGACTTTTAATAATTACAACTGGGAGGTCTTAGGAAAGCACCGTCTCCAGGAGAAGCCCTCTTCCCTTTTAAAATTTAATTAATTAAAAAGTAATGCAAAGGTATACATGAAGAGGCCATGAAAATGCTTGAAGACAGCAGATAGGGAAGGCCAGAAGGAGATGGCCCAAGTTGGTGGAAGATATTATTGGTGTTGCAGTCAATTATGTACACAATCTTATTTCTTATAAACAAAAATGGACCTTTTCCAGGGCATGCATTAGTCCTTTTTTCTGTCCTTCTGGACAGCAGATATAAGATATTAGACTATGTCTATGTGGCAAGATGGCAACAGAGGTCATGGGTCACATTCTTTTAAGCTGGCCCTACTATGAGCAAGCCAGATCTTGAAGGATATTCAAAGGTCTTCATTTTCTTACTTATGCTCATGTGCAACCAATCAAAATAGCAAATACAGTAGACAAGTTTAATAAATAATGTTTTATTTGTTAAGTTAACTTGATTGGTTAACTAAACATCAGTGCTACTATTGGTTAACTAAACTTCAGTGCTAGTTCAATGCTAGAAAGGATTGGGGTTTGTTCTTTGTTTATACACAGTAGCTTGCCCCGTCAGTGGGGTAGTTGTATTCTGCTTGATTAGATTGTTGTTTATTGCTTGTTTGTTTGTCTGGTGTTAATTCCTGCTTATCTGGGTATTGATTACTGGCAAGGAGGTGTTCTGCGTTTTATTTTTGTTTCCTTTTTAGCTTTTTCAATGCCGTGTAAATATTGTTTATCTCTATGTGTCTGTTGATGTTTAATTTCTATGAATACCAAGCTTCCCTAGCATTTTAGATTTCAGTCTCAATTGAAATTATGATTAAGACTGTCCATGTGTTGTGAATTTAAAGACTTTTCATCATTCCTTCTGACTGCTGGTTTATGTTCATGGATGTGTTTTCCTAGTCTTTTATCCGTTCGTCCTACAAAGTGGCTGTTACAATCTTTACACTGTATACTGTAGATCACTCCTATTGTTTCTTCTAGTGGAACATCTGGGAGAGTTGTGGTTTGTAGATGCTACATTAAAATCCCTGCTGTAACTCTGGAGAGTGATGATCCCATGGGTATTTCTCTGATATGTTGGTATATTTGTCCACTGAAAATAGATTGTGAAGCAGAGGTTGTAGAAGTGATTCTGAGTATTTCAATCTTAGTGTACTTGGATAGGTAAGGTGGTTATGCAGTATTGCTACCATGGACTTTTTCTTTAGCTCCAGTCTATGCATGTACAGTAAGGAGTACCGTGACATCAAATGAAACCATAATCTCATCTTCTTCTATTATTAGGTCTTAAGTGGTTTTCTTAAGTGATTTTCTTGAGTCACTGTGCAGGGGAGATGACAGAATATTTGATCCCCTCTATGAGATGTCCCCAGATGAAGAGGTATTTTGGGCTTGCGTAACAATAGACGCATGGAAGGAACAAATGGAGAGCAGCCCACTCCCTTCTAACACTGCAGATGTTTCCTAGCGAAGTAACAACATGTCTGCAAGCAAACAACCAAGCTCAGAGAGCACCAAGCATTCCACAGTTCAACCCAGAGATTCTCCACTGTTAGTAAGGTTTACTCTGTTCCACTCTACTCAAACATTCCAGAATATTATTAATTTACACTCTGTGATATACCTAAGAAGTTAAAAGCAATATGCATATGAATGATTTAAGGGCTTGGATGAGAGGAATATAGCTTTTTGCATTCACCAATAAAGCTGTGGATCAGCAAGGGTTTTGTTGAACTCCGTCAAATGGTTTCACTGATGGAACCAACCTTTGCTTGTTAGTATCCAGCTGCACAAAGTTTGAAATACTGTAAGTTCCATGTAATGTAATGTAGCCCAAGGTTAGATTGTGGTTAATGGGAGAAAACCTCTGGAATACATCTTACTATATATTGCTTACAGAAATAAAAGGAGGGAGAGATAAATTAAATGACAAAATGGATAAATGAATGGATAAATACAGGAAGCAGTTTCCAGTCTTTAAGAACAGGAGGTAATAAGCTAAGGGTTAGAATTGGGAAGTTCTTGGGAATTTAGCCAGTGGTTTATCATGGCATTCATGTTACATTTGGTCTGATCAGAGGATAGTTGAGATGTGCCTTTGAAATATTTCTGATCCTTCCATCCTTCCGAGATCAATAAAATGAGGAGCCAGATTGTTGGGGGTAATATGTTGACTCTGTAACCCGCTTAGAGAGGGCTGTAAAGCACTATGAAGCGCTATATAAATCTAGGTGCTATTGTGATTCATGAACATTTTCTAAAGACATATTTTGGGATGAGTAGGCATTAAACTATCTTTGTATTCAATAAGCTGTTGTCCTCCAATTTTGATTCCCTTTGGAGCGTCAAGAAATAAATATGGGAATGTTCAAGTTCCACATATAATCCATGGTTATATTATCTTTGTATTCTGCACTGCTAATGTAAATCCATAATTAAGATCATCTGTAATGTGGGGGAGTACCTCTGTAGGAAGCATTAGTCAAAGATCTGCAAAATCCAGAGCAGGTTGCATATTATCTGCCTGATGACATATTCTACAACACTTAACCAGCACCTTTGAAATTGTTGAATTTGCCTAACATCCGAACTGAAATTTCAAGCTAAAAACCAGAAGTTCAAGTCATTTCTTCACTGAGATTTTTTAACTGACTTCTAAACCATACACAGGCAGTTCTTCTTATGACCACTTTTTGCCATAGTTGTTAAGTGAATCCCTGCAGTTATTACGTTAGTAACACAGTTGCCATTATAACTTTAAACAGTCACTAAACAATCAAGAAAGTCAAAAAGAGACCAGCATGGCTGCACAAAGCTCTCTCTGACAAATTGAAAGACAAAAAGGACAAATACAAAAAATGGAAAGAGGGGCACATAACTAAGGCCAATTATCAGCAGACAGCCAGAACATGCAAAGATGAAGTCAGAAAAGCAAAG